GATCATCAGGCTTTGAAGAAGCCCAGTAGAACCCTCTAGGGGGATGGAGGAGAACACAGGGTGGCATGAGGAGAGCTGAAGCCCCAGTGAGCACCATTGCCAAATAAGTGAACGAGGCCATTGTAGACCTGTTAGCCTGAACTAACCATCAGATGACTAGAGCCTCATGGGGGAGACCAGCAGCACTGCCTGAAATACCAATTCATGGAATCATGACTGTGAGACATAAAATATCATTATGGTTTGTGGAGGCTGGTTATGCAGCAATAGATAATTGATACACATCCTCAGAGAACTGCTCTAAAAATAATCAAGAAAAACTCATGATTCCTTTTTTGTTCATTCTATGATAGCACACAGTTTCTTACAGTTTCTTTCAGACTGTCTTTGTACCATCCCTCTTATCTAAAGAACAGCTTTGACTCCCACGACATCAGATTAAAGCTCCTTTACTCCTTGTTGTGAAAGTCATTTACTGATCCCTGGGTCTCTGCTTCTCAGTCCATAAAGATTTTAACCACAGACTCATAACCACCTCTCCAATACTCCCCAGTAGTGATTTCAATATACAGGTAGAACAGTCTTCAAAAATCATGGCCTTTCATTCACTGACTTCCTCTTTTCCAATCATCTTGACCTACAATCCTATCTCAGTCACTTATTCTCTCTGTCATCTTGTCACCACCAATATATTGCAACTCTGCTATAATCTCAATTTCAAACATTCCACTATCCAATTGCCACCTTCTATGTTTCCAGCTCTCTTACTCTCACCTCCAATTCCAAGATTCCTTCACCACTGGACCTACAATTTACTGTCATCACTACTCTTTGCTGTTTCTCACCTATCTCATGTTCTCACTTTCCTCCTTACTCAGCTAAAATTTAATGGTCAATCACTTCAGTTGCTCTCTTGCCTCTCTTGATCTATCATACTTTCACTTGCTAGAGCCTTCATTAAGTCCAACTTTCTACTTGATACATGCCCAAATCCAGAGAGCTAAATATGGCTGCAGAAAGAATTGCCTCTCTTCAAATTCAGATATATTAATAATCTCAAGAGGATCCTTAATGACATCTAGCAGTCAAAACTCTATTTCCCTAGTCCAGTCAACCTCTTTACTCTACTATATGACTATTTCATAGCTTCTAATCTCTCCTCAAAACTTTAATATCTCTACACTCTTTCCTTCCCACATTACCAAGAAATAGAATTTATAAGCTCCCACCATGTCTACATGCTTATTTGTACCTCTGTGCCTCCCTTCCTCTTCCTATGAATTTTTCCTATTTATTCATATGAATGAACTGTATACGTTCATAGCTGGAGCTAGAATTTAAGAGATGCATTAAATTCTATCTCTTACCTTCTCATTGATATTACTTCTTGAATGTTCACTCTATCTCCTGTACCATTTTCCCCTCTTGATTGAATCATTCCCATCATCATATACTGTCACTTTCATATTATTTAAAAACCTATATTCACAGACCCCATTTACCCCTCTAGATACTACTGCATCTCTTCCTTCTGAGGAAACTCCTTCAAACATTATACTCACTACTTCAAATCACTTCCTCCCTTTTTGACTTGAATCCACTCCAAAAAGGCTTTTTGCCTTCAATGCTCCATGAAATGTGTATTTATCAAGGTCAGTAATGAATTTGATGTTGCTAAATTCAATGGTTGATTCTCTGTCCTTATCTTACTTAATTATAAGCAGCATTTGACATAGTAAATCACTCCACTCTTCCTTGAAACACTTTCTAGAAAATCTGGCTTCCAAGAAACCACATTCTTCTGATTTTCTTCCTCATCTCTAGCTGCTACTCCTCAGTATTTTTTTTTTCTGATTTCTTCTTGTCTCCACAACCTCCATAACTTCTGTATATTAGCATAGATATAGAGAGAGTATATTGAGTATTCCAAGTTTCAGGGCTTTGATTCTATTTTCTATTTATATTTATTCCCTCGGTGAACTTCTTAATCCCATGGCTTTAAATATCCTTTCTATGCCAATAATTTATGTCTCCAGTTCAGGCTCCTCTTAAAATATAGACCCACATACCCAAGTGTCCACTTGTTATCTCCAAGTGAATGTCTAACAGGTCCCTAAAACTTAACATGTCTAAATGGGATGTTTTGATTTCTTAAACTTCAGCTAAGCAAACACGCCCCCACCGCCACCCCACCACACTGCTCCGTTGACAGTCTCCTCACTGAAATCAGCGGCAGTTCCATTCTTTCAGTTGTTCAAGCCCAAAAGCATGGAGTCATCATAGATTTCTTTCAGTCATATTCTACTTCTGATCTATCTCCAAATACTGCCTATTCAAACTTGAATTGGAAGCTGACCACTTCACACTTCTCCAATGCTGATAGCCTAGTATTAGTCACCGTTTTCGCAACAGCCTCATATCTGGCACTTAACCTCCCCACTCCCTGGAGAATCCAGAATGCAATGCAGTGATCTTGTTGAAACATAAGTCAGAGCATGTTACCTGATGCTCAAAGTCCTCCAGTGGCCCTATAATAGCCAAGAGGCTAGATTATCTAGTTCTCCATTAGTTTTCTTCTGTGTTATCCTTTCTTTTTTTCATTTTACACTGGCTTCCTCTTCTGAGTTCCTCAACTTGCCAGAACATGCCTACCTTGGACACTTCACACTTGCTCTCTGAGATGCTCTTTCCCTCAATAGCCACATGATTCAATCATCTTCCCATCTTTACTCAAATGTCACCTGTGCAGAAAACTCTTCCTTGGCTACCCATTCCAAAATTGCAAAACTCCTATCCCCATTTCATACTTTTTCTCTTTGGGCTTTATTACTCTCTAATATTCTGCATATTTTTCTTATTGATTTTGTTGCCTCCTCCACTAAAATCTGAATTCCATGACAGGAGAAAGTTTGATGTATTTATTTACTTCTGAATCCCCAGTGCCCAACAACACTTAGAAAATAGTAAATGTCCCCCCAAAATTTGATGAATGAATGACCAAACATTGGAAAGAGAACCAGATGGAACTTCTAGAAATAAAAAAATCACATAATTGATATTAAACACCTGTAAGCTAGATTAAAGAGAAAAATATTTTTCACAGAACAACACACTGCTACCCAAAAAAGAGACACTCAAGGTTCATCTTCTGAGTCTAGCATAAATCTGAAACCCAAACCAGTGAGAAGGGTAAGTAAGAAAAACAACAGATCAATCTTGCCCATGAAAATGGATGTGAAAAATCTTAAACCACACTTTAAGAAGCAAAAATTCAGAAATGTATTTAAAAAATATAACACATCAAAGCCAATATTGTAGTATAATTCCACTTACATAAATTTCAAAATCAGAGCACATTAATGACACAAGCATCCTTTGTTATCCAGATCTGTTTGGTACCTGAGTTCAAATAGTGACAGACTGAATAATGATTTGGGACACTTAGGGGAACCTCAAATGAGTGTATTTATATTTTATGGTAACACACAGTCATATTAACCCTTTTTCTTTTTTTTGGTGTGCTGCTCTACGAATTTTGACCTGTGTATAAATTCATGTCACCACCACTACCACAATCAGGACACAGAATAATCCTGTCATAACCTTATAAAATTCCCTCATACAATTCCTTTACAGTCATACTCTCCCCCAACTCCCAGTCCCTGACAACCACCAATCTGTTTCTCCATCACTTTAGTTTTTTTTGAATCTCATATAAATGGAATCATATAGTATGCAACCTTTTGAGACTGGCTTCTTTCATTCAGAAAAATGACTTTGGTACATGTATTGAGAGTTCACTCCCTTTTCTTGCTGAATAAGGGTCTACAGTAGTTTGTTTATTCATTCACCCTCTAAAGGATATTTGTGTTGGTTCCAGTCTTTGGAGATTACAAATAAAATTGTTAAAATACTTATATGTTTTTGTCTGAATGCAAGTTTTTGTTTCCCTTGGATACATAGCTAGGGGTGGGATTGCTGAGTCATAGGTTAAGCATATGCTTAACTTTATAAGGAATTTCTAGAGAAGATACATCATTTTTCTTTCCTACCAACAATGTGTGAGAGTTCCAGTTGCTCCATAGCTTCACCAGCACTTGGTATTATCATTGTTTTTTTTTTAATATTAGCTATTCTATTGATATATGATAGAAAATGAGTCCTTTTGGTTCTCAAGATTTGGGCAGCAAATAGGCAGATTTTGATAATGAGAGGATCACCTAAATTTTTATCTTAATGTACTTGTTTTTTTGTTTAGATAGTAAGGGATACATGTCTATGTGGAAAAACTATGCAGAAAAGCAACAAATTGATTGTTATAGAAGTAGATGGTGGTTACCTCTGGGAGACGTGGAGGAAGATGCCAACCAGTGGGCCCATAAGCGGCTCTAGGACACCGATGCTAAGTTATTGTGAAGCAAGGTTGGTAGGTACATGCGACCTATTTTATTATTTTTGAAACGATATCCATGTGTTTGGTAATTTCATGATTAATTTTTAAAGAAATGTTTGAGCACATAAAACACACAAAACCCCAAAGTAGAAATGCACAAAAATATTTTAAAAGCACCTCTTTCAGGAGTTCAAGTATAGTGAGTTAAAATACTTAAAATAAAAGCATTTGCAGAAATTGAATCTAAGACATACATCTTACAAAAATCTTGTTTAAAACAGAAGTAATTTTAGTATTTCTGTGCTTGTGTACATCCCATAGGCCAAGCTGCTGATGGGCTAGCCAGCTTATTAATGAGATTGCTCCCTTCCAGAAGTCTCAACCGATACTTAAGGGCTGGTCAGTGTAAGGCCATTCTTAATGATTGGTAAAGAGTACTTTCTTCCTGGAAACCAGGACTAGAACTCTGCTTTAATTAGGAAGCACACTGAACATCATCTTTACTATTCACAAATTCCTAGACACCTCCCTGGGCACAACTGAGGCTATACAACTCTTCAGAAGCCTTTTTCCGTTGCCACCAATACCTTATAAGGAGAACCTTTACCTGTGACAACACTGGGGATTTTGGAGAGGAAGCTCTTGACTGTTCTGATGGGCACACCTCCTGTCTTGTCATCTTGCATCTTTGTAATGATGTCCTCAATCTGAAAGAGGATAAAGGGAAGAAATGTCATCTTCTTCTGCAAAGTGATAGTAAATGGCACTTGTACAAATTGCCAACAGTACCTATCAGGAAAAGCCCCCACCTCCTTAGTCAGCCAATAAACATAGTCTGCAATAGACTAGGTGCTGGGGGTGTGGAGGTCAGAGGATTATACACAAGAGCACAAAGCATGGTCTATAAGAACAAACACCTAGTTCAACAAGGTAAGGAGGGGAAAATACTTAGGATTCCTGAAGAAATCCAACACGTAATTCTTTCTGTACGTGATGAAATTCCTCCTCTTTCCAAATCTGGGTTTATATATAGGTTGACCCAGAGGAAACTGCCATATTCCATCCCCCCAAATGGCAATTTCCTATAGTTCGGCCTAATATGGTACCATACTGCTGTTAGGAAGTACAGGGAGGGCTGCCTTTGGGATCAGAGGACCCAGCCTGAGTCATGTGGGATTAAGATAAGACTGTATATGAAGACATGGAAAGTTCTGCTCTAAAGAAGTTGGAGGATGGGTCTCTGTGGTGGGACCAGTGGTGTGAGGGGAGTCACCCTGAACCAGGACTGAAGTGAACCAAGGACAGGATCCTCTCTCTTTGAATGAAGGAAGACCACATTATTGGGAGAAAGAACATGGTGGGATGTGGCCTGGAGCCAGGTGAAATCTTACTGATGGAACAGGATACTATGTACATATATTGAAAACAGAACAGAGAAGGAGACGGAAGATTGACAATGCAGGTGCCTAAACTGGGAAACCAATCTGTAGCTAAAAATTTGCAAGCCACATGTAATTTCCTGGGCAGAAATCTTCAGAATAGGATACAGAACAATCTTTAACAAGGCCATAGATTTTTTTGTTTGGGGAGTTGCATGGAGCAGTAATGGAAAAAGGCAGGAAATAATGTTTAATTTTATCACACATTTTGTTCCCCTAAGCAATTGAGTATCTATGAAACACCAGATGGATTCTCTGAGTGCTTCTGTAATAGATTCACATAATTTTTTTTCACATAATTTTTTAAAGCCTAGAAATTTAAAGCTGCAACTCATTTGGTTCAACATACTAGTATTGCAATTTAAGGTTGGTTTCTCAAAGTCACATGATTAACAACTTGTTTGAGAGAAACAGATAACTTGTTAAGAGACAAAGTTTTGATATGGCATAACTCAATAATAATACTATACAAGAGCCAAAACATGTTAAGAATTTTTATATGCTGAGTATCATTCTAAGTATTATACAAATATTATCCCATTTAATCTTCATGGTGACTTCATAAGCTATTATCCACTATTATCCTCATTTTTCAGATACAGAAACTAAGATTTAGTGAGGTATATCAATCAGGGTAGACTAGGTTAAGTTGTGGTAACAAATAACCCTCGAAATCTCAGTCACTTAGTACAACCAAGTTTATTTCTCTCTCATTTTACAAGTTCAAGTTTATTGCAGGTCAACAGGGCCACTCTGGTCACTGTAGCTATTCTGGGACCCAGGCTTATGGAGCAGCCACTGTCTTGTATGTTGATGGTCACTTGCCAGAGTGACAAGAGAGATTTCTGGAAAATCTCACACTGACTACTCAGTGTTATATTCCATAAGTTCATGTAACACATTTGCTCACAATTCTTTGGCCAGAACTTGTCACATGCAACTATCCAACCGCAAAGGAGTCAGGGGGTTCAGTCTTCTGGATGCCAGGCGGAGAGGGTAACTGACCATCTGTGAGCAGCATCGATGACCACCACAGAGGTTACATAACCTCCCCAAGGTCACACAGCTGCCCAGTCATGGATCCAAGTTTGAACCCAGCTGCAGACTCCAGAGCTCAGACTTCTAACCCCTCCTGGGCTGCTCTGCCTCCCAGTAAGATTCTCAGAAAAATGGCCAAGCAGAGAAGACATTCTTCCCTGGAAATTTCTGGGCTTCTCTGAGAAGTGCTGATAGTGAGAAAGAATCCTAAGCTCCCGGTGCCTCAAGCAGTGGATGAATATATCATGCTCGGAAAAAGGGCCATTTGTGAAGATCTGCATTCTGTTAAATGACAGTGTGAGAAGGATTTTCATCACATTCATGTTAATAATCTTAGCTACTGTCCCCCTTCTGTTCTCTAAACTAAACCTAAGAATTTAATTTTAGTATTACTTATTGATAGTTGTCTTGCCAATGGGTTTCAGCCCCGGGCAAGTTCACTATGGATTCAGTGTGACCAAAGAAATTGACAGCAAAACATTCTTTGGGGTGAAAGGGTTTATTACCCGGCTTGTTCTCTGGCAGTAGGTCGAGCACTATCATCTCTGCCTCCGCCCAGAGCACTGGGCCAAGCTCTCTATATAGTGCAATAATAGCTTATTGCCTAAAGGTAGCAACAGGCTAGTTACATCATCAGGTGAATTAAATTCAGTGAGGATCCTGGCCATAGGAACCCCAACTTCCCCACAATAGTCAAAGACAGTTATTCCTCGAAATAAAAATCATATTTTTGGAGTAATCTATGCTTCTGATCTAGTGTGCTATCTGAAACCAGAAGTATCAGTTACATTGCTGTTTTCTATGGGATTCCTGGAAATCATTGGGAATTGGAGGGAAGCCAATATTTCAATTAAGTGAGATCCTTGACTTGTCATTAGCTGATAATAACTTCCAGCCTCTGCTGATATGAGCTTGATTTAAAGAGGCACCGTGCAGAGGAAATCCCCATGATTCCTTTCTCCTCTGCTCTGCTTAGTAACTTCATCCAACTATTGAATCCTAAAGGGCTTATTTATTAAAGAGGAAGACCTATATTCTTATGTTGACTCACAGTGTACCAAGAGATATACCACTCATCAGAGGTTATAGGAAACAAAATGACAATCCCCTTAACAGACCAGAGAGGGCATTACATTCCAATAACAAGTTACATCATTGGTGTAGAAGGACATTTCATCATTCCTGGTGCTTGTCTCCTCTGAAAGGTAATATACACCCAAGTCCGTGATCTGGCCTCATGGTGGACAGAGAGTCTGCCCTTTGACCTCTGAGTGTGGCCATGTGACTTGCCTGGCTAAAGGGATGATACTGAACTTGATGAGAGCACAGACTCTCAATGATGGCTACCCTCTTCTCTTGGCCTCTCACCTTGGATAGTTGTGGTTCCAAGGAAGGGATGAGACAACTGGAGCAAGAGAGACCCAACCCATAGCTAGATCAAACTCCAGCTGACCTGCAGACTCATTAATGAGAATCAAACACTTATTATTGAATGCCACTGAGTTTGGAGTAGTTTTCTATGCAGCAAAATTGTGCTGACTGCTATAACAGGGCTCTGAAAAAGAATTACATTTATCAAAAACTGCTGAAGCCACAATAAATGCTTGGTAATAAGAATCAATGGATCTTAGAGGTGGAGTATCCTAGAATGCAACTCTTTTGAAGAACGCAGAAATTCCACCTGCAACATTCACTATCTACTTAAAAATTCTTAAGGTCTATATTCCTCCATGATCCATTCTATTGTTGTTCTAGGCAAATTTGTGATAGCTGAGTTTGATTCTGGAGCACTGTCCAGAACAACATCAGCCAATAATGCTGTCTCTGAAGGTTTTTGTTATGGTTTCTGGAGAAATGCTGAGTACAGAGCTACCAAACAATCAAAAGTGGGCTCCCAGGAGCTTATATAAATTATAATGACAAACATTTTCAGAAAATCCACATTATGATCAATACCATTCTCAATATTTTAATTATTTATTTATCAGTTTAAAAAATTACCTAATAGAGATGTTGAAATTGAGGCTCAGAAAAGAAAGTTAAGTGATTTATCCGAAGACACAGGACTAGTAAATGGCAAAGCCAGGATTCTTACTCATTCTCACTAACTCCAGTGCCCAAGCTCTGCTATCAGATCTAAGATTCCTCTATTTATCCTCAAATAGAACCTGCTGACATGCTTTTTAAATGCATGGCACTTAGTACTGTTTGCAATGAAGGGTAGGTTTAGCTCAGTCCTAAGGAGGTACATAAGGAAACAGAATAAATAAATCAGATAAACAGATTTGTTATCTGTTATAAATTATCACCCATCTCAGGATTTGTTTGGCCCAATGCCTGCTGCCATCTCACTGCTTAGCATTCTCTCTCTTTGTCCCATGGCTTCGTTGGATTTATCTTCTGCTGGTACATCACAGCTCTTGGTTGGGAATGGGGAAATAGGAAGGGATACACTTACATTTTCTTGATTGTTCAGTCCCATTTAACTTTAGACACCTCTTGTTCCTAAAGAGGAGCAACACCAATTCCCCGACATCCTTTAATATGAAGGCCTGTGCCATCAGGGAGCATGCAGGGAGCACGCTGGATCTGTTTCCCGTGCCAATCAACAAGCAGGTGGCCCTTATCTGACAGCCAAACGATGCAGGGAAACCACTTGGCTGGTTCTGCCTGGATGGGTCCCAACGACCAAAATATCCTTCTCCAAGGACCTCAAAGCTCAGTGTTGACATACAGGTAAAACATTCTTCCAAGTAGCAGGAAAATGGGAAACCATTATATAACAGGAAGGTTTTCTTTAAAATGAGGAATATTATGACACAGTAGGTATAATTCATGGCAATAGCCATGGGGTGTAAGAAGCGGTCATCTTTTTATAAACTGAAGCTGCAGCAGGACAGTAGGAAGGACACTGTCAGAGGCCCAAGAGAGATGCCAGCCTCAGCTTCACTGACTTGCTGTGTTGACCTTGGACAACTTCCTATCGTCTCTGGACTTCACTTTCCTCCTCTCTACAGTGATTGGCCTGGTTGCTAAAGAAAGATTTCTAATTATAACACATGACAGACTTTTCTGATTTGACAAATCCAAAGCTGTATCTGCAAGGAGAGGACAGGACAGGCAATCAGGCCTCTGGGTTCTCATTCTCCATGTTGTCCGTCTGCCAGGTGGATCCATGCAGAACGCTTCCCTGTGCTAAGAGGTGCAAGATGAGGGAAGGGTGCTGAGCA